AAGTATAATGCAATGTTTTTTCTACTCTGAGCCACAGATCTTCACTTCAGCAGTTTTATTTTTTTCTACATTCTGAAGTTTACCAAGGTATTTGTTTTTACATAAATTGCCTGTTTTTGTGCCATTTTATATATAAATATGAACAAATTATTTCTTTCTGGCTGTTTGCATTACCTAACCAAAATATAAACAATATAACCAAAATCTTCTCCTGTAAAATCTAATCAATGATTAAATAATTGCATCCAAAAGTTTGTATTTACATAATATATGAGTTTGTACTCACACACATATATGTATGTGCTCACACTCATGCATACATGTCTATATTTGATCAAATGTTTATATTATTGTATAAAATATTTATATCTAATACAAATTTGCACTGTTAAAAACGTTGCTCATTTTAATTTTAAAGTTTATTTAACTTTACAAGTCATTTTAACTAATCAATTAAGCTGACTTAAAACATCAAGTTTAAATTTGTTTAACTTAAGTTGAAACCCAATTAACTTTCTAAATCAAGTTAAAGTAACTTGAAACTAAAACATATGTTTGCATGACTTTTTATTACAGTGTGTATGTAGATAGATATATAAATAATAGGTTGTATGGATTGATTGTTTGTAATTATATGTAATAAATATACACAGTTTATGCGATTAATTTGACAGCCCAAGTAAAAAGTTTTCTCTTTTATGTACCAAAATAAAACAAGACATTTGACCTGCAATATTCAGATTTTATGTTCTAGAAATAAGTAAATATGCATAATGAGATAATACCCCGTTTGCTTTATTTGTTTATTATGAACTTTCTTGAAAACATGTTATAATTTTCCTTTGCAATTCTAAAGATGATAAACCGCTGGGGAATGTTTATTAACTACACTGTAAAAAAATATATGATCAATAAGTCATGGCAGAATATGTTTTTAGTTCATTGTAACTTATTAAACTAAGTTAATCATGTTCTAACTTAATTTTATAAGTTACACAAGCTGTTTAAGTCAGTTTAACATAATTTAAGTTCTTAATATTAAGTAAGTTTTTTTTTTTTTTTTTTTTTTTTCAGTGTATTAGTTTTGGGTGTGTTTTTTTTTTTTTTGCCCCAGTCACCTGCAGTGTCTTTCCTCTCAGCTCTTGAGTGACAGCTAAAAACACTATTTTTCTACTCTTTAACTGTTGTTTAAGCATGTTAGGCAGGATGACAAACATTTTTTGGCAGATTTCTAGCAGCAGCGCATCAAGTATTCCTGGCACGAAGCGTGCAAGGAAAAAAACAGTATAGTGAAAGGCTTTTGAAACTGATTTATACCCTAACCTCGCCACTTGCTTGAAATCAGTCATGGGGCGGACGGATGTTTCTTGGGCAAAATATTCCCTGAGCTTCTTTAAACTTGCACGGATATATTTGTCTTAAGGGAGTCTCTCCGTCTCAAACCCGCACTGTGACATCAATCTCAAAAATGTGCACTAGTTCATACGTTACAGTTGAGAAAGGCGACAGGAGAGTCTAAAGTCTGTGCCAGAGACAATACTGATGCAGAAAAATGCTGGGCTGATTTTGACAATGTTGCTTTATATTTGCTTCATTGTTCATTATCAGCTAGAGGGAATACAATTAGAAAACAACTAATATTGTTTTAAGGTTCATGCATTCCATGCTGCCATGCTGTACAGGACTTTTTGGAGACATAAAATCAAACATATGAAGAATTTAGCCTTTCTTGTTGCCACTGTAAAAAAAACAATCCTGGTTGCCTTAAATTTTTAAGCTGAATAAATTAACCTTTGAATCCATTGGACTTGTATCATGTTATTCTGACTTAAAACAGCTTGTGTGACTTATATTATTAAGTTAGAACATGATTAACTAGTTTAATAATTTACAATGAACTAAAACATATGTTGTTATGACTAATTGATCAAATTCTTTTTTTACAGGGCAATAATTCATTTTTCAAAAAAGTCAAGACTTTAATTATTTTTCTGACCCTGTTTTCTCTTTATTATTATTATTATTATTATTATTATTATTATTATTATTATTATTATATTTATTGTTATTTATTAATTTTTTTATAAAGAAGATTTTGACATGTCTATTGCAAATTAATTATTGTTTATCCAGGACCTAATGTAACTAAAAAATATTTACCCTAAATTCAGTTTTGCTTTAATGTTGGATGAAATTGTATAGGTTTGGATTTGCTTGAAGTCACATTTTTTATTAACTAACATCACTAACATCAGGGTATATGCGGCATCTTAAAAGACTTTAAAGGTCCTAAATCTCAAAAACAGAATTTTAGGCCTTAAAAAGTCTTAAATTTACTGTGATATTGTATTGTAGGAATTAAATCTTTATTTAATCAGGTCTTCATTTTCCTTTGTTCATGTCTACCCAATTTGGCCAAAACCCATACAATCATCAACAATCCATCTCAATAAAACTTTAGCTTTTTATTTAAAAATGCAAATTTTAACTCTATTTATAGTAATGTTTTAATTGTTTTTCTTATAACATTTGCTTAAAAGTTCCCCATGGATTTACCGCCGAATACTGAGCTGGACAGAATGTGCATTTATTTAGTTTATTATAGTTTTTAAAAACATTAGTAATTTTTTTTTATTTTTATTTTAAAATTTATGAGATGAAAAAAGAAAGTTTATGTTGAAAAAAGTGTATGTTTACAGCTAGAGTTTGTTTGTTTTGACACAATATTTAAAATATTTTGCTAAGAAAAAACTAAAATATAATCATTAAATTATTATTGTATTGTTAAATTAATTAATTCATTTTCTTTTCGGCTAGTGTCTTTATTAATTCGGGGTTGCCACAGCAGAATCAACCACCAACTTATCCAGCATATGCTTTATGCAGTGGATGGCCTTCCAGCTGCAACCCATTACTGAGAAACACCCATACACTCTCATTCACACATACACACTATAGACAATTTAGCTTACGCTATTCACCTACACCACAAGTCTTTGGATTTGTGGTGGAAACCAGAGCACCCAGAGGAAACCCATGGGGAGAACATGCAAACTCCGCACAGAAATGCCAACTGACCCAGCCGAGGCTCGAACCAGCGACCTTATATTGTTAAATGTAAATTATTTTTGTATTGTAAATTTATTAAATTCTCATTTATTTGATAAGGCAAATACAAATATTTTCCATCTGGACCATTAAAAAAACTCAGTGTTTAGCCCAGTATGACTCTAAAATTTCATTCTTATTGGTCTTAAAAAGTCTTACATTTTGCTTGGTGAAACTTGCAGAAACCCTGAACATTATAATTAAGCATACTTGTATTTCATGATAGTCAACATTAGGAGTCGGACTAAAATGTTCATTCAAGTTCTTTAAGACAAGAGCTATAACTGTTTTGTTTTAGGACAACTTAGATGAAAACTTTGTATCCATTTCACATGTTGTGGCTGGCCTATAATAAAAGTAAGTTGATAAATGATTGATCTGCAATGAATTACAATTGATTGTAATGATGTTCGAAATATTGAATCACCTAAATATCGTGTCGTATCTTCAAATGTTAACATTTATTGTTCAGTGTGTGACCGCGGAAAGCGCTGCATGCGTTCAAGTTAACAGCCAACACACTTGTTCACTTTTGAGGAGTGCGAAACCACAAGCTGTGTGTTTAAAAACCTGACTGATCGCGAGTTGAAACGCCGCATGTTTTGTATTTCAAAATGACACAAAGACAGTCATAAATTATCATCCCTCAATTGAAGAGCAAGTACTGTGTGGAAGCAACTTTCATAATTATATGCGGGTTTAAAGCTTGTTTTATTAAATTTATTTACAAAGGCTAAGCAATTAATATGATGACCAAATAATGTAAGTAAATATGTTTATTTCATTATATTTGATAAAATTCAGCATTCTCTTACATAGGACGGAAAAGTTTTCAATATTTTTAACATTCTTTAGAGCAAAGATTTGTTTTTTTATTTACACGACTTTAAAGATGTTTGAGTTACCCGACTTCACCTTCACATTTATCTTTGTTAATTATTTATGAGTACTTTAACCTAATTAATGCGACTGAATGTTGCAGATTTATTTATTTATTTATTTTAATTTTATGTAAGACGTCAAAATATTTATCCTAGATGCTTGTCATTTCTAAGATACCAGAAAAGACTACCGAACCTATCATTTAAAAGTGATTAAAGAAATAACTTTTTTGTATGTGTTTAACTCAGGTTTCAGTCAGCTAAATTACTTTTTTTTTAATGTATGAGTTAATATGCTAACTTTTTCGTGCGCCTTTATACTTTTGTCATTTTTTTATTTTTTACAAATTGTATTTTTAAGTTAAAGTTTGGTAAGTAAACATATAGCCTTAGCTAGTGTGTACGAAAAACTCATTGAACTTCCCAAATCCTGATTCTCTTCTAAACCGTTCAGTTGCGTAAAATTTGTAACACTTGGAAACTCCCAAAAAACGGGAATAAAGGGATTCGGCTCTAATGTTTCTCTATCCAATAAGAGCGTTTAATCGGCTCTGCGACCAAGTGTCTTGTCTAACGTCCCCGCCTATGTCGAGCTATGATTGGCAGGCTTCATTAGGCAGCCCCGCCTTTATTTAAACGAGCACACGGTGGTAGGCTGGCCCTGCTGTCAGTCAAAAACACCAGCGCTCTATAAGGTCTACTCTCCCGAAAGCGCTCAGACACACTCGAGGATGCGGCCGGGAGCAGCTCCTACGGCTGGGAATCAAGTGCACCGGTCGTTCTCCTCAGTTTTCTCGTTTTCCTTAGCAGATATGAGCGAGAACAGCTGACTAAAATCGCATTCCTTGATGCCCACGTCCACTTTGGGCCAGTTTGTTTCACCTCTGAGGATTTAATTGTGGACTTATGGCTTTCAAAAACTGCTGAGGGGAGGATTCTGGACTTGGACAGAACTGTACGTACCTGTCAATATGTCCAGTTGGAGTGTGATGGTCTGCATGCACAGGGCTTATGGAATATAGCCTGTTCTGTCACCACTTTTACGCACTCTCCGTCAGTCCCGTGAAGAAGAAACTCGGGCTCCTCTTCATCATGCTGCTCCTCTGGGTCTACATGCTGTACTCATGCGTGGGCTACTGTGCCACTATGCCACCGAGTTTAGTTGTGGACAATAGTAATCGAGCGAAGGAGACGGATTTCCTGGGGAAATACGCTGAGGCAGAAAGTGGCCGGTCGGACCTGATGATGTCCAAGCTCCTGTCCAGACCGCAGAGCTCGTGGACGGACGTAGAGTCAGATTACGACGAGCCTGCGGTCAGGCGAGCTCTCAGAGACTTCTCTAAAGATGAAGGGGACGCAGACCGAGCTGAGGAGTGGGACGACGGACGGAGGGTGTCCGCGCTGTCAACTTTCTCCAACGGCTCGGGCAGCAAGAAGCTTCCTCAGGCAATCATCATCGGCGTGAAGAAGGGCGGGACGCGCGCGCTGCTGGAGTTTCTGCGCGTGCATCCAGATATACGCGCGGTCGGAGCGGAGCCGCACTTCTTCGACCGGAATTATGAGAACGGACTGGACTGGTACAGGTACGAATGCTACTAATATGTGCACATCAGCTGACTTACAATTTCTTCAGAGTAGTAGCCAATATAACAAAAACATACATTGAGGATGCACCTTCCATTTCCACAATTAACGCTTTTATTCATTATTTAGGCCTGACAATTTTATCTTTTGCCATTGTTTTGTACTCTTTTTTTATCCCTGTGTGTGCCTGTTGGCATTTTCTCACGAGCCTGACGACGCAAAATTTCATCCGGAATAAAACTTATCTTGTTTGATTGCTGTAGTTAAGTCAAATTATCGACCAATAACTGCTTTTTGCCGTTCACTTTGAGTGTAATTAGTTATGACCTTTAAAAACGAATTAATGAAAAGTTTATATATATAAATATATATATATATATATATACACCCTGCATACATTAAAATAATTTAATGCATATCCTATTCTAGATATTCAAATGAGAAATTCAGTACGCGGTTTTAGATAAGCCTATTATCGGTTCATGGTCTATCTTAACTTTATTATTTTGCGTGGCTGCTGTATGTCATATATAATAATTAAGCAACATCGGTCACTTAAAAAAACACCCAGTGTTCTCTTTATCTTTTTTCAAAGGCAGTTATGCATTTATTATTAGCATATTATTATCTTTCTTGGCCTGAACAAAATGATAAATTTTTTTATTATTAAAACGCTGTATATATTTTGAAGACCCCATTTATTTAAAGAAATCATTATTTTTGTCAATGGTTTGCATTTATCCATCTGTAAACGCAGAGTTGCAGTAGCCGTATAGTTTTCAGACACCAGTTTAAACATTTACTTTGGTTTCGCTGCTTCTGCTACTGTCGAGCTCTTTCACTTGGATTGCTGAAATTTAGACCACGATCCTTCACATACACATTCATTCATACTGATATTATTCAAATAAACAATATTTGTGCAATGATACTTTTTTTGTATTATGTTGAGAGATGGCTCGTGTCCGACCGCATATGACGCAGTGGTCTCTGTTGGACACACTGGATCATTGCAGGTTAACGGACCTTTGCTTTTCCCTTCACTTTTGTAACTTTTCACACATCAGTTCTCACGTTAGTTCTATTTTTTTTTTTTTTTTTGGCACAGTAGACTATATTTTTCTAATTTCCTCAATTAGTGATGTAATATAATTAGAGCTATAGGCTAGACCGTATACCTACCAGTACAATTGAATAGTGAAAAGTTTTGCAGAAGAGCTTTGCATTGCACTTTTGACCATTTTTTTTTGAAAACCCATAAAACTGAGAGATTTGACATTAATTATGAATTATAGATTTAAATGGTTGAATAACTTAATGATGGAAGCATTTGCAATAGTTTGAGTGACCGTTGTTTCCAGTGCGCAGTGTAATTAATTAAGTGGTAAAAAATAAATGAATCAAAATCAGGGTAATTTGACATAAAGAGATGGATAAAATTAATATCTTGTGAATTATAGACTTGTTTATAATGTTTTGAATGAACGTTTATCCAAGTGCAGCTGTGTTTTTCTTTCTTTTGTTTATTTTTTTGTTCCGTAAAATATTTCGGCTTGTTTAAGTAGCCTACAATATATATTTAAAGTAACTCATTACTGCTTGTTCTGGCCATTATTAATTGCCTTTTTCATTTTATTTACTAAAGTGCCAGAACACAGCATGATATCTCATAAATTCATTACAATCGCTATATTTCACCAAGCACTCAAGACGTTTGTTTTAAATCACTTTTAGGAGGAGCTTTAGGTTTTTTTAGTTGCGTATATATTATAGTTATTTCAGCGTGATGACATTTTTGTGAACTTTATTTAATGTTCTACTGTAAAATGTAATAAAAATGTATAGCTTGGATGAAATGAAACTGAAGAGAGAAGTGGGATTTATTGCCCCAAAGTCTGTCTCTGCTTACCCCAGACACAGAGCGGAAAGAAACACTCAATAAGTTGATAAAACAGTCCTGGACTGCACGCCTGTCTCTATAAACGGATTTGCAAAGGTTTGAGGGGGTGAAAGCCCAGTGCTTTTAAATATATGCAACATTTCAGGGCCCCTAACAAAAAACAGGACGGATGAAAGAATGGGCGTTGTAGTGAATGCTCGGTAGTCCAGCTTAAATGAAAAGGGAATTATATTCAAGCATGTTGAGAGAAAAAGATTTATTTGATTAATTATTTAAATGCGGGGCCTCACTTCAGTCTAATGCAAATTCAAGCTGCTCCAGCAAAATCAGCAAAGACTGCAAAAATATGCAGATTCTTTAAACACGTCTTCATTTTCTCTTACTGAATTAAATTAATTATGCTATTAACTTTTTAAGCTATCAAAAAAAAATTGTGTTAATTGCAATTAAGACTATTTCTAGTAAAACTGGCCTAAAAGTGATTAAAAATGAAGGATTTTCTTGGCCAAAAAGAGTGTTTTCCCCCTTTCGATTAACCTAAAAAATTCTGGAAAAAGTAAAGTTGGCTGGTCAGTTGATGTCAGTTTAATTTAAAGCTCAAGTTTAACTACATAGCCTTCATTGAGTTGCAGTTTAAAGTTATTTTCAGAAGTTTTTGCACACCTTACAATTACATTCAAAAATCTAGAAAATAAAAACATTGGGTATATGATTTGTTTTTCACCCATTCAAGAAAGTTTTCTGTCAAAACTTTTCAGAATTCGCATGCCATCGCAATTGATTTGAGTTGGATATGCGATGCCGCAGCAAAATTCTATATGTGGCCACTGCTATTTGAGCTGAAGATACAGAACACAAACAAATGCAGACTTTTTTATTACTTTAGTTTGTCACTTTTATGCTCTTTTTCTGTCTTCGATGTCTGATCTAAAATGGTGTTGGAGGCAGAGCGTTGGAAATAAACCCTCTGCACTCTGCACTGTCATGGCCATTCCCTGCTTGTCTTTTTAAATGGTCAAAGTGGTTTTTTTTTTCTCTCTCTTCAGAAATCTGAACTGAACTTTGATACTTAGTTTTAGAGTCCCATAACAAGCAAAGTAATTTGCTGTGCATTTGAAAAGTTCCTAATTCATTTTAAAGTAATCCCATGGAATGGAAACATTTTAATGAGGTGATTTTGCTGTGGTTGTAATCTGTGTACATCAGGACATTTTTATTCTTTCCTGTGCTTCAGAGAGCCAGAACAAGAGACATGGCAGATGAGCTTTTGTACTTCAATACTGGTTAGACCTGTTCAGGCAGATTCAGATACTGTAAATGTGGGGTATGATTCATAGACGTTCAAACATTATATGCAGGCAATTCATAATTTCTTCTGTATTTTTGTTATGAAGTTATCCCAGGATCGTCCGGTTAGTAGTTTTGCAACTGCCAGTTGATTTGTAAGAGGTTTTACAGTGCGAATAGCTAGAGTTGTAGTGGGTTGAGTTGAGTAATAACTTTGGCAGTCCTCCTTTCACAGTTTTCAGTTTCAACTACTTTTCTGATTTGTGAGACCTTGCAAAATCTCTGCTGGTTTTGCTGCTTTTACAGTATTTTTGCGGAGACTCTGATGATTTAATAAGCAGTCGAGTTGGCTTTTCAGAAAAATCCCACCCACTCAGACAGACACGATCCCAGCTGGAACAGTGAACATTTACTCTAGCTCTGTGTTTGACTTTGTTGCATAATTTTCAGATTTACTCAGGCAGTTATGGTACTCGACTCGTCCTTGCTTTTAGTTTTGCTCTGTTTCTTCATTGCATCTTTTGCAGTTTGTGTTTAAAGATCTTTCCATTGCTAAAAATGTACAGCAATCCCGTCTTGAGATTAAAATCCTTGTGAACTGGGGGTTGCTGAGTTGCTGAGACATCCATTTCAGTTTGTTGATGTATTTTTAGCTGAAACAGAATATTGAGTTGGAGGCGGGTCCTTTTTGTACATCATTCCCTCAAAGCAAACTAATGCTCAACTAATGTTGAGTATATTGAGGTTGAAACCATCAAACTGACAACAGCAAATGGTCAGATTTTGATTGAAGATTACCAAAACATTTTTTATCAGTGCATTAACTTGCCCGGATTCATTGTTCACCTAAATAATAACAAAGCAAAACAAACATTGTGAAGTTTTATTTCTTACACACTTTAAAGAGTGTGTTATAAATAGCACCCATTAAACTGCATAGTCTGTAAATGCTTATCAAACAAAGAGACAAGTGGAGCATTGTTCTGTAAGAGTCCCATTCCACTATCAAACCAGGGAACGCTCTCGGAAGCATGTCACTTGAAAAGTTCTCAAGTCCTTGGAGGGCTACGACCCCCTGCCACCTTGTCCAGATGAGCACTTCCATCCATGCAATGGTGATTTCTGGATGGATGCCTCTTCTTTTGTACCCCCACTCCATGGGGTGTTCACGCCACCATGTAGGTGACCCATACGAATGCTGTGGCCAGTGACCCCCTCCTTCCTGCTCGCACAAAGCAGGGGCTGCCGTGTCTAAGTTGTGCCAAATGAGATCAAACTAAAGTTTGGCTGTGTTGGTAAACAGTGAGCTCTTGATATAGGTATTGATACAGAGTTCAAGATTTGTTTAGGTTTTGATTCACATGCTCTTGGCATGATTAGGTTCTTAATCATTTGGGAATACTTCAGTTTTAAAATCCACCCACTCACTCACTTTCCTTTGGATTAATCCCTGATTTATCTGGGGTCGCCACAGCGGAATGAACCTCCAGCTTTAAAATCCATTAGATTTTTATGATTTAATGGAAGCACCTAAGTATTAAAGTAATGATTCATTAAAAGAACCTGCTCATAATAATCATTTATTGGTTTAATATGATAACCCTGCTTACATTGCATGTATTTGATTCTCTATGGGTAGCTTTAAGAAGACAGTCATATAGAACATTTTGAGGGATGTCAACAAAAAAAAAAAATTGTCCCAAAGTAATTTCCTGTTTAGCAATTTTAATCTCTATAGCTTCCGAGAATCCAAAAATGTCCACATATTGATGAATAATGTTATGATAGCTGTTTTAATGTTAAGTTATGATT